CCCCTCGGGCGCGGGGCGCGCAGCCGGCCCCCCAGCCGCCATTTTACAGCTATCCCTCTTCCACCATCTTGCGATTTCCTTGCGGTGGCGGCTGTTGCTCTAGGTCTGTCGCAAGTCCTAAAATGGAAGGGTGCAGCATGCATAGGGGAAAAAGAAACAGCGGTGAGCAAGAACTTCCAAGGCTGAAGTAACAGAAACAGAACCTTTTCGGCAAGGAGCGGAGGGTGCGCCGTCACTGATGGTTGCTGGTCTCATTGTCCCAGCTTGGTTTCAAGAGACAGGGGTATCACAGCGCTCCCTCCTAGCACGGCTGGAAAATCGAGTTGAACTACCACTCTTCCAGGGCGCCCTGTCACTCCTGCCTGTCCCACTGCGACCCATGACAGCCAAAGGCCCAGCCCTGCGCACAGCCATCTCGCTACACCCCGCCGCCCATCCCTTCTTCCAAGTTTTCTGCATCTCCCAGTCCCCTCTTCACCACGGCCCTCCATCGCTGCGCTCTCCTGCCATGCCCCACTCCCACTGCCAGCGCCATCCACCGCGTCTCTCTCCCTGCTCGCCGGCCGCCCTGCAGCTCTCCACTCCGTTTCTCATTGAGCACATCCATGGATCTGCTGACATCTGCTCCCAACACCCTGCTCAACCACACTGCTTTGCAACTGAGTCTACTTAGAGCAAGTGATGAAACTTCTCCATTGGAGAATTTTCAGAGTTCCAGGGTTTTTTCAAGAAAACCAAGGGAATTTTATTAGGAAGCATTGCCACACCACTCAAGGAAACGGCGCTCCAGCAGCTCTGGGACAGCCAGTTTCCACAGGCAGGGCTCCGCAGGACGCTGTCCCGCAGAGCCTCCTGCAGGGATGGGTACTCGACCTCCATGAAAGAATGGGACCTGGAGGCATCCAAACCTCTACTGCCACGATGCAAAGTGGCAACAACAGGCTTTGGTTGACTCACGTTGGCACCCCATGTTCCGCAGGGACGCACAAAAGAGGAAGACACTTTCCTTAAATCAGATTTATTAGCAATAGCTGGAAGAAATTATAACAACCCAGGCTAGACTGAGGCCAGACAGCTTTGGCAGTATTTGTTTAAAGGCAGAACAGTAACTACCGACCTCCTCCCACTCTGGAGCTCTCTGCTTCTCAAGGCCCTAAGCTTTATTTCAAGGACACAGGGACACAGCCTTTCTGCACATCAATAGCCATAACTCATGTGCTTTATCCACAACATTATCTGGACACTATAATTCTTTTTTTTAAGACATGAACTGTGTCATCTGAAAAGAAGGCGACTTCTCTAGTGACAGAGACAGATGACATACACATCTGCATGTACAGGCATGGACGTGCTTGCCCTACCAAGGAAAGAAATGTAGATGAGAAGTGGTATGTCCTTTTGAAGCAAATAATTCTTTTTTAATAAACAACCTGTTATCAAGGCAAAAGAATATGTGCTTGTCTCTATTTCCCCATTGATAGAATATAAAAAAAAAAAAAAAGAACTGAAAAGGCTAATTCCATAAAATAGTGCTTTCTAACTATCACTGAGACAAGAAGGAAGCATTCCAACCTGCCAATAGAGTATAAGGATTAGCAACATTATACGTCAAGTCAGGCCTTACACTGTACATAACTGGAGATTTAAGTTCTCTTTTCAGAAGCTGTTTTTGGAATACGCCCTACTTTAATGCCTCTAAGTTAACATCCAAACAAGACCTACTTCCAATTAAATAAGCGGGGGATAAGCTATAATTAATTGTCGCAAAAATCATGATTTCAACCAGTCCACCCCCCTCCAAATTCAGCAGAGAAACACTTGTGAACATCAAGAAAGCTTCAGTTGAACTGCTGGTAACCTCCTTGAAGTGAGAAACTCCTGTAAAATTGAGATCTGCTAAGACTCGGCCAAATACGTTCCCCTGGTTTCTAAGAAATACTTCAGGCTATAATTCTGTTTTAATTAAGAGCCTGCTCCTGACTTGAGGGGGAAGAAAACCAAATCATCCCTTACCAAGAAGGACACGTTCCTTCCAAGAAATAAGTAGCTGAACAGCAGCGATAAGACCCTTTACAATCAGGCATCGAAGTTTACAAGGCAATTACAGTGTGCCTGAAGCTTCCAGCCTTAGCATTTAATATTTCACATATGACTTCATTTTATAGGGGATCATCTTTGCTAACAGCAACAAAACATTTTATAAGCTCTCAAAAAGTACAAACAGTAGATATGTTTCCAGAAGGTGCAAGACAAGCTGGGGAAATAAAAAAAAAAAAAAAAGGAGACTCAATATGAGCTTCTGGAACCAAGAGCTGACAAGGGAATCGCCCTAATCAGGACCATTCTGCCTCAGACTTTAAAATTTGGCTTTTGATGGACAGAACTTGAATTCAGCCAGTGGGATAAAGGAGGATTAATGACCCAAGATCCTCCCACAAGCTAAGCTCCTCCTAGCTTTAAGAATTATTGTGAACATTTTGAATCTAAACAAGTTTGAATCCAAACAGCAACATTCCACTGGGCTTTGCAAGCTCAGCAGGGACTTGGCACCAGCGAAGCCACCCTATGCAAGCTCGAGAAGTTCCTTGGCACAGACTCTCAGGGCTAGATAATATCAGGGGCTGGATAATATCAAAAACAGAGTTTATTGTTCCCCTCTGGCAAACACACACTTAACTCTTACGCACTGTTGGACACAGCTTCACATGTCCTGTGGAAAACTGGCACCCAGGTACCCATTCATGTCTCAGCTCGCTGCCACCGCAAGCCCAAAGGCAGGTAGCTGGGAGACAGCCCCTCCCCTCTCTCACCCTCCCTCACCCTACAGCCCATGTTCCCAGTACTCACCTTGTACTTATGTCAGCACTGACTGGGCTGCTGAACTCCTCCACGAGCCACTTGAACTCGGTGACACATCAGAAGACTAGCCCAGAGAAACAGCAAATTAGGTCTCTGCTGGCTTGGCAGGTAAGATCAGGACCAAGCCTTCACACGAACCAGGAACAGTGGAAGTATACTACACTGGGCAGCACAGATGAGTTGCTTGCCCCTTTTCTCCTCTGCAAGACCCCAATTTTGGGGCAAAAGGAAGCCAGCTGCAAGCCAGCTGCTCAGTGTGGCCACCTCTGGCTCCTCAGCAACCCCATCTGGCAGAGTCCAGCAAACTGTCTGCACAGCTCAAACATTCCAACTCCGTGGCAACCTTCAAACATTCCGAGTTGCCAGACCACAGCCCACCGGACCTGTGGCCATATGGCACTACCGACCCATGGCACCGCAGCGGGCAGCCGAGCTGTGACTCTCTGAAGCAAGCAGGATGTCTTCTTCTCAGCCCAGGCATACTTGTCAGATCCAGCTCTACCAGTAAAAGAGGCTTCTCAGCCCCCGCAGCCAGGGCTGCCAGCCTCACCCGTCCACCAGTGGCACTGGCCTTAGATTTACTCCAAAGCACAGATCGGCAGAGCCAGTGCAGGCCAC